CGTTGTTGTTGTCGTTGTTGTTGTTGTTTTCTGCTGTCGTCGGCTTCTCTTGGAAATTTGTTTGTGCGCAACGGAAATGCATTTATTTGTCCACAACTTGGACGCAGCGTTTAATGAAGTGACCGCCTCTCGACACTCCGCCACACCGCACCGCACCACACCGCACTGCATCACTCCAACTCCAAGTCCAAGACCGAGTCGAAGAGCTCGCTCTTTGCCACCGCGCGGGGCGTTAATTGATGAATCGGCGCAGCGCTGCTTGAGCAGATTCAATGACAAGCCCTGCCACTGCCTTTGGTCCTAACCCTACTCCTGCCCCTACCCCTAGCCCTACCTGTTACCCTGTTACCCGGCATGTGCTATTTCTTGGAATTTTCACGGCATGATTTCCTTTCCCAGTCGTTCGTTTGCATGTGTCCCAAAAAAATAACTTTCATACATGTCGTCTTTCGGGTATTTCCATGTTAAACACATCTATTTAAATTTTAATGATGTTTGTAATGATGGTGCTAAATATTTCCCACATTATTATCACCTATCTATCATTGAGTAAAATTTCGAGCTGTGTGTAGTTCTTTGGGGGTACTGTAAAGGTCGTTATGTTTTAGTTTATTTTGTTAAATTGCTTTAAATTTGTTGTTTATAAACAAGGTAGTTTAAATCTGTTCTAAACAATTGTCAAACTGCTTTTATATAAATGAATATAATATAATATAACAAGATATAATAAATATACTATATAATATTGATATACCAAAAAAAGTCGTAAGCAAAATGTTGGATATAATAAATACAAAATGGACTCAAGACTTTGGCCAACGAGATTTTAGACAAGAAATTAAAATTTAAAGTTAAATTGTGTTTAACTTTTCTAAATTTATTTTTAACGTCAAATAAAGTATAAAATATGCCTATAAATTATTGAAATATTTTTTATATAAAATAAAATAAATTAAAACATATAAAATAAATTTAAAAAAAAATTGGCTGGTTCGAGGTCCGCCAGCAAAATGAAGATTTAAAAAGGGAAAGGTACTCAAAACCAGCATAATATAAATAAAATAAAATTAATAGATAAAAAAGATAAAATAAAATAAATAAATTAAATAAGTAAAATAAATAATTAAATTTGTATAAATGAATATATAAAAAATCAGTAGTCATGCGGTAATTTTTACTTTTCGAATTATTTAGAAAATTTGGTTTAAACTTTTTGCCTTTTAATATCTTCTTCTGTCTGAAATTTTGAATATTGAACTAAAAACTGTTTAAAATGAATAATACATTTATTTAACTATAGCTGTCACTATAGAAATAAATAATAATATATAACTACCAAAAAACTACAATCAAAAATTGTTAATAACTTATTTTCTTTCCTACATTTTTTTTCAAATCTTTAGTTCAAATCTTAAGATTTTATGAGGTCGAGTTTTTCTTAGTAGTAATTCAAAAAGCAATCAGCGTAGAAATTGCTGCAATTGTTTGAAAGATTAAAAAATCATAAACGAGTAATTAGATATATTTTTTTTATTTCATAGTCTAAGTATAAAACGAAAGCCCATCTGAAGATCCAAAAATATCATTACTTAAACAAACTTATCAAAGTTACCACACATTTGCTTAGCACACTTCACTTTGGCGCTGTGCTTGGCGCTTTTTTTTTATTTATTTATTTATTATTTTTGTATAATTTCTAACTCTGATTGAACGCTGGCGCTGGGCAGTCTTCAACGATGCCCAACAATGCTAAACAGTTTTAATGAACTACAAGGCAAACACACATAGAAAAATTCTCCATTGAAATCAGCTTGTGGCCGAAAATATGTTGGCATCATATAAGACAATGATCATCGGGGACTCTTGGCCGAAAACCCTTGTCTATTTGATCAAGAAATTAACAGCTAAGAACTTGTTACAACGAGCGCCGCATTCGTAACTCTCGAGGGTGAGGTGTTGATTGGGCAACGCCCTGGACAGCAGTTCGATGTTGCCACTCTTTTGGATGATTTGTCGGCCGGGTGAGAGATAGAAATGATTGCGTTCTTTTAAATTTATGATCGCACATGATGAGCTATAAAATGTTTTATAGCCCAGGGGCTGCTGGCCCCACATTTGCTACCCTTTCGTTGGCAGAGGTACATAAATGTGCGGCACATACCACGACCTCAACAACTTTTGGCTTTAGTCTACCAAATTAAATCATGTGATTTATTGCCTGGCTGTTGGATTTTTCACCGCACGTTTGCGGCGCGGTTTTCCAGCGGTCTGTTGTTTCCATTTTCCCTTTTTCCCCTGCCTGGCGGGCGGTTGGTGGGGTGCAATTGATTGAAATGTCAAGATTCATTAGCCACGAGGCGCTTAATTGCGCCCGAGGAGCACAGGAGCGGTTCGGCAGCAGATGCGGGTGCCGTCTGTTATGTTCAAATTCTCAATATTATTTCCACTAATTCCTGCCAGACTCTATTATAGATATGTGTGCTTTGCACACTTCCAACCTTGAGCTGCTTGAGCTGGGCGGAAAAACCCGCAAACAATTTGCGCACAAGTGCTGCGCATCGGGTTTAACCCAAGCCGCTTAGACTTGCCATGGCTCGTAAAACCCAAACATGCATATTTTTTTGTTTTGTTTTATTCATAAACACAAAACATGGCCAAAGAAGCCAGGATAGGAACTACCTGAGCTTCTGCCCATGCAAATGAATGAAACGCTCTCCAAGGTACGCCGCAGTGGGCGTGTAAATTGACAAAGGAACTTTTCGCACATTAGTTTTAAGTGTTGCGGCCCCTTTTTCTGTCTCTCTCTCTATATTTTCTTCTCTTATTTTTTGTTTGTACACCAGCTGGAAATTTTCACGCGCATTTTGCACCTGTTGTTCGGCATTTGTTGTGCTGCTTGAAAATGTGCAAAAACACGCCGGAAAAAAGAAAGAAAAAGAACGACAAACAATAGACATGACGTTAGAACATTTAGGGTCCTGCTGCTTTTAGCTCGTGCTGCGACCCTTCCCGCTCACAATCGAACCGAACCGAACCGAGCCGAGTTTTTCGTGGCAGCTGCAGGCTGTCGGGCGGGCAGCGGCACTTAATTAGCCACGGCCTGACTGTGGTGCGGGCTGCCTGGCCCGCCCCGGGCCCGGCCCGGCTCAGCCCGCCGACAAAGTCCAGTGAAAGTTGATGCGGTTCGTTGCGTATTTTTATTATTATTATTATTATTTTTAGTCTCGACGGTCTCCAGTCATAAATTTGCCAATTTATGCGACAAATCGCCAAAAGAGTCGCACAAATGTGGTCTACAAATCTTGCAATTGGGTCGGCTTTGCGACTTGGCTGTTTGGCTTGCTAAAGATATGGACAAATTCTGCATATGCTACCACAAGCTTTAGACAAACATGGCTTACATTTCGTTTGACAGGTGCATAATGCACATTTCATCTGATTCAACAATTGTAATACCAAATATTACTGCTTAAAGTTGATGAAATTCTATTATAGATTTTATGTTCGCCAAAGGGCAAACGCGTTTACTCTGTTCTGTTTTGCTGTTTCCTATTTTTCCCGTTGCTTGCAGCTTGTAATTCCCAACAAGTTCATGCCTCGAGAAGCGGAATGTTCTTGAAGTAGTTTGGCTGCCAATCTGTTAATTTATTATTTGTTTATAACATCTTTTATTTATAAACCAAAAAATCTCGAGTCCAGCAGCTTATTGTTTCGTCTTTTCACTACATATTTTTTTTATAAAAATTGCCTGTGGACCAGCTCAAAGTTGGGTAAGATATTTCCCAAAAAATTATTTTAGCTATTAATTAGGCCATGTAGAAGGTAAAAGGGAATAAAATATAATCTACATTTTGGTTATATTTTTACCATTAACTATTGACCGGCCTTGCACGTGGCTTTCCAGAAAAATCTTTCATTCGCATTTTCCACTGCGGAAGATGCGAAAAGTGTGAAACAAGTCTCAAATGAATTTTCATGCAGATGTTTAGAAATGAGTTTGAACGCGTAGCATCACCCACCAAATCTTTGACCCCCATTTTTACCGAAAAGGAATGAATTTTCCGAAAAAGATTTCACACAAACGCTTTTTGCAATTTTTCCACACTTGCGGGTGGAATTTCCCAAAACCCCGTCTCAGCACATAAAGTATTTACAGTGAACATTTTAGCTTCCTAGATATTACGGTTTGATCAATCAGTCTGTAAGTCAGTCAGGACAAACAGTTTTATATATAAAGATTTCAAGGTAATATGTTATTTTGTAGTTAAATAATTGCTCAGCTTAATGCTAGATAAAGTCCCCAAATTAAATAATAAGTTTGATCGGCGCACCTAAAATCCTTATTAAGACTTTAAGTATATTAGACAAAAATAAAATAAATACATTAATATGACAGCTGTTGTTTTAATTCAATATATGCATAACGCATATCTGCACAACAAAGCTTCTCTTCACAAATCGAATTCCTAAGTTCCTCCAATTTAAAAAAAAAACCTTTAAGATATGCGAGTTAAATGTAGGTGAGTAACAGCTCCAACACGTCTGCAACATTATTATATAGAAAAATGAATATTATAAACAGTTGGACTTGTTGTAAAAGTAATGTCTGCTTTTTGGTCCAGTCAAGTGGTTGAGGAATGAGTTTTGGGCTCGGTTTGGGAAGAGATACTTCATATGCAGCTCTCACATTGTCATTGTCATGGAAATGAAAGCAACAGAAACAACAAGAAGAGAAACAACAATTGAACATTGTTGCTGAATGTTGTATGTTATTGTTAGTGAAAGGCTGCCAACAAAAATGTTAAATTAGATGCAACAAATACGAAATGTGATGGCATTTCCTGCAGACGTGTCAATAAACAAAAGAAAATGAGAAGCAGACGAGAAGAGAGGTATATATTAAAATGTAACAGGCGCACTTGAGCTGCGTATTATGTTTGGATATTTGTAGTTCGAGCTCCTTTTGGGGGGAAGTTGTAAATTGTATTTGTGGTACTTACGTATCTGTGAAATGTCTGTCACTGAGACTGTTCCTTCCGCAGCTAGGTGTATGGCTTTGTTGTGTGCACACTGTGACATTATTACGTAATCTTCTACTGTACATAATGCACCTGAAATCACCACCTGAGAAAGACAAAGAGAGAGAGAGAGAGAGTGAAACAGAGAGAGTGAGTGAGAGGGAGAGTTTATTAGAGAGTGTGTATTTTATCACAGGCGCTCTTATCGCGCGTATCTATAACAGCCAATCAATATTGTATCTTATAGATACAATACACAACAACCTAAATTGCATACCAGTGTTTTCAGCTTGTCAAACACATACACACGCACGCACACACACACGCACACCCAACTATATTCACTGCGCCTTTTTACGACTTCCTCCGCGCACCCGCCCACCCCCGCTCCGAGGCGTAGCTCGGTAGTCGCCTGTTTGTAATTTATCATGTTTGATTTGTTGTCTCTTTTGATATTTTATAACATTCATTCATAATCGCGCCTTTGATTTAATGAATTTATTGGTCGTTTTTTATTTATTTTTTTTTTTTTGGTTTTTCTAAGCTCTGTGGCGGCGCTTGGCTCTTTTATTATTGTGCCAGGTCAGGTTGTAAATTAGAATGGCAACTGAATCGTGTTATATTAAGCCCCCAACTGTCAGACCCAACCATGTTTTATGGCTCATCCGCAGACCATGTAATAAGTTACGCAAATATGTTGTTAGACTGGCTGCGATTATTTTGTATTTGTAATTGAAAACTATTATGCGATTTATTTGTGCTATATTTTATTATAATATTCTAGTCATATCTTATACTCAGGGGCTTATATCAATATTTATGCTATTTTTTGTTTGTTTTCAATTCTCTATATAAAGTCTTAAGACTCTTATTTATAACTTTTCTTGATCTCAACAAGTGTTTATCTCCTATCTCATTGTTCTCCTGCATATCCTCCATGGATACATGGTTGAGATAATAGCTAGCATTTCTTATTAAAAAGTTAAAACATAAACTTTTTGATCTATTTGCTACGCCTTGCTTTCATCTGCGACAGATTACGCTTTGTTAACCCTTTTCACATGCAGCATCTTCTCTCTGCGCTTCTCAAATTAGTTCACATATCGATAACATCGCATTCCTTTTCTTTTGCTTTGACTGCTTTATCAACCCTCACCGCTCGTCCCAAACCCTTTGCATTAAGTGCTTGGCGCCTCAACCGAAGCCCTCCAATTTGTAGACCACCCAAAGAGTCCAATGCACACAAACGCCCCCAACCCCCCACCCACGCTCATATTAACCACTCCAGAGAGCACTTGACTCCAGTCGTGGCCTCTCGAGATTGGCATCCGCTTAGCTTACAGCCTCATTCACAAGTAGCTTCCACAAATTAGCCAAGTTATAATTCAACTTCTTAAGCTAGCCGCTAGCCGCTACCCGCTTCTCGCTTCTGGTGGAACGAGCTTGAAGACAACAAGAACGACAACTGAAACTGAAAACGAAACCCAACGAAATCTTATCGCACACTTTGTCATGCTTTTAGTGGGCGGCATGAGGTTGCTGGTGGGGGTACACCTAGCACATTGGAAATTTATGCTCCGCATAACCTCGTTTCATACTTCGCTTCAAAGTTTTTTCCCAAGCGTAGTTAAGGCTACTTCAACGTGCTTCAAGATACAAATGTGGAAAGGTTCGTTGGGGTATTTGGCAGCGGGTTTTGGGGTGGTTGGTAAAACGCATTATTTTGTAATTATCGACAGAGTTCTAATAAATAAAACGAATGTGCGACGTACACAAAATAAAAACAAATAAAAAAAATTTAGAAAGAACAGCTAACTACGACACGCCGAAGTTTAGATACCCTTACATCAATGTGGCTTGGATATGCTTTATGGAAAGACTTTACTTTCGATCAATTGTTGATTAGAAAGCCATATATAAGCTATATATATAGTAGTCCGCTTTGATGTGCTTCTGCGGAGAATTGGAGGAGAGAATAGGAGAATTGCAAGGCTCTCAGCTGCTGAGCTTTTTACTGTCAAGATTAAAGGAATAACAGACAAGCAAGACAAACATTTTGATCAAGCTCAAATGGACCTACTTTACTGGGTTTCATAATACCCTCCAGTTAGGGTATTTTAAGAAACAACGCAAGGCCCCGCACAACACTTTGTGACTGGGTTATAATTTTTGTTTTCTTTTTGTGGGTTGATGAAATTATGAATGAAGATAAGGTATGCCACAGAACTTTTGAATGGGCCTGTATGCGTGTGTGGGCGTGTGTGCTTATATTTGGTCTTGTTGTTACTGGAATTGCGATTAATATTAACGTAACTTAGAGAAACGCAGAAAAGTATTCTATTTACCGATTAAAATCTTCAATCATGCAAAATATTTTGGAGTGCAGTTCGAACAGCTTGCAGCCATTTATTGAACAAGTGATGAGCTTTTTATTCGTACAAATTTCTATTATACATATATACTAAAAAAAAGAAAGTCACTTTTTAGGCAGTGAGAAACGCTCAAAGTAATCAAGAGAGGCTCTTTTTGGGCAGTGTAAAGCCATCATATTTGACTTTTAACTGGGCTTATAGGGTATCCTCCAGTTGTGCTGCTTTGCTTTATACCCTTAAAGCTCTAAACAGGGTATAATATAGTCGAGCGTTATCTGTCTACTGACAACCAGACAACTGGCTAAAGAGCATCTGCTAGTCTTTCAACCTCACACTTGCCTAATTTTGTTTACAGCCCCGCATGTTACTAAGAGGTATAAGCTAGTCAATCACTGTCCCACTTATTCGACTTGTTTTTGCCCTTGTTGGTAAGGGGTATAGGCTAGTCGATCACTGTCCCACCTATCAGACTTGTTTTTCTTGGCATTACAAACTGTGGCTAATGTGTATTTTCATGCAAAATTCCTGAAATTTTCGAAGCAAAGGTCAAAGAAATGCATAAAGTATTTCAATACTTCTAAGCTCTTTTTATAGGCCATGAATATTTTAATATTATTATTGTTAAGCTTAGTTAATCATCAAAGAATATTTATATATTGTTAAGCTCGTTTGACAAGAAATAATCTTTCAGATGTGTGAAGTTTTGAAAATCTTAAAATAAACATTGCCTTTATACTGGATAGGCAAAAAAAACTATTAAAAAAAGGGTTAGGAATATTGATTTATAAAGAAGCTCTAAAGTTTTTCAAAGTTATTTAAAAATTATTTCACGACTTCGAATTAATATTTAAAATATATTAGGCAATTGTATGCAACTTGAAAAAAATGGATACAATTTTTCAGCGTTTGAATTTAATGTCCAATATATTTAAATCATTTGTGTGCAACATTAAAAAATATTTTGTATAATATTTTATTACTTGAAATGAATACTTAATATTTTTTATATCTTATATTCCATAAAAGTTTTAAATAACATTTTACAATTTAAAACATTATAAATTTTGAAAGGAATTTAAGGAATATTTCATGATTTTGATTTAATATCTAAAATATTTAAGGCATTTGTGTGCAACATTAAAAAAAATCAATAATAATTTATAAATTATTTAATGAAGAAATGAATATCAAATGTATGTTAGGCCTAAGAATATTTTATTAAATTAATAATTTTATTTTATTTAAAATCTACATGAAATATCAACAATAAAAAAATATTTAAATAATTTTTCATGTTTTAATATGTAAATAATATTTTATCTACACGAATATCAACATTAAAAAATAAAAATTCCACAGTTCAATTCAAGCATTTGATGCTAATGAAACAGAGTTAAATTTTGAGATTTTCAATCAACATTTTTATTATTTTTATTATTATAATTATTATAATTATTATTATTATTGTTATTATTATTATTATTATTATTATTATTATTATTATTATTATTATTATTATTATTATTATTATTATTATTATTATTATTATTATTGTTATTATTATTATTATTATTATTATTATTATTATTATTATTATTATTATTATTATTATTATTATTATTATAATTATTATTATTTGTGGCATTTCCAAGTCAGGATTATGCCACATATATAACCGCTTTACTTACAATAAAAAAGAGCAGTCTTTTCAACTGATTCGACATTCATTCGGCGATTAATGTACATAATTTTAACCCATTTACTGCCAGCTGAGCAGCAAACTAATAATTCGTCCCGTCAACTGCACGTCAAATTTGAACAGTCTGGCAATGTGGCTTGTTTTCGCTGACATTGAGCTTATACTGCAAACTGTGGGCGTGGCAAAGTGGGCGTCATTTATTGGGAAGTCCAATTGTTAAACGATTATTGGGTTTAGCTCACTTTTGCGCATTGCTGGCACGTTTTTTTTTTTTTTTTACAATTTTTTGCAATAATTTTTGTCACAACTTTTGGCGAGAATTTTTCGCCAGGAATTTTAGATTTAACGCGTTCGGTCGTTTGTTGTGTTAAATAACAATAACAACACACACACTAACACTCATTCACACTTGCACTAATATTAGCGGACACTTCCGTTTCCGCTTTGGCAAAAACAACAACAATTTGCGGCAACTGTCACGTATTAGCGATGAGTTTTTGTTTTTTTTTTTGTTATTATTTTTTATTATTTATATTTTGCGGCGTTGCCACCTTATTTTGCAAGTGTTGCACGCGTAACGGTTAATGTGAACTGCACACACACACGGCGACACAACAGAGTGAGAGAGACAGAGCGAGCGAAAGAGAGAGAGGGAGAGACGCTGTTTTGTCCGCAGTTGAGTTGGCAGCGACGTTCAACGTCTTTGCAGGGCGATTGAATTATCGAGACTAACCGAAACGAAACGTGCGACATTTTCTTGTTGCTGTTGTTATTGTTGTTGTTGTTGTTGTTGTTGGATACGGATACGGCCAACATAGCTGGCGGCAGTGACAGTGGCTGCGACAGCAACAGCAACAGCGGCAGCGGCAGCGGCAGAGGTGGCAGCAGCGGCGTAAACGAGCTGCATACAGACATGTTGCATGTCGAACCGGGCGGCTCAGCCAATGCCAGCTCTGTGCTATAGTCGCTCGATCTTGAGCAAAATCTGCGGATTTTTTATGTAAACTCTTTGCTTTGTATTTTATTTGCTTCTTT